ATTAAATTCTTATTGAAATGGCCAGAGTAGCAGGACCATTTTTATGTGTTCATATTTGCATTTACTAAACCCTGGAAAGATATAACAGCCAGTGCTTATATAGTCACTTCTATGTATTACTCTGAACACTTAACTGTATTAATAAGGCATTATTATTTATCCCCTTTCCTGACCAGAGAAACAAGCCACAGAATATTTAAACAATTTTCCCAGAGTTAAACAGCCTATAAGTGATGAAACTCAAATTCGAACCTTGGCAGGTTGGGCTAAAAAAAATCTGTAATTTTAACCACTTTATCTGTGTTGAGATGTGAGCAGCCTGGTTCACATTTCTCTTACCTGCCTGAGTCAGCTCTGGTGAGAAGAGAGCAGACAGACAAGAGAAATGCCCACATCTAATATATAGTTGTAGGATGCTGAGATTTTGGGAGATATTGTGATCTAAAAATCACCATTTGCCAATGTTTCCTAATAGTCCACATTGTATATAGTCATTGTGATTCTCCCTCCCCCTCTATCCATCCATCTATACTCATCTGAATGAAGGCAGCCCTGCCAGGAGGTGCTATGGTTTTCAGTGAACTGAAGAGTCAGCTGCCACAACTCTGTCTCCTCCCTTGAGATGGCAATAGGTCTTGTTGGCCAACCACCATGTGTCATGACACCATTAAGGGGTGCTTGAGGTCAAGGGGAGTGCAGACCCTTGCCACTGAGAAACAGCTGGATGGAAAAGAATCCCTCCAATCAATGAGAATTCTAGGAGGATTTGTTTGAGCAATTCATGTTATATAATAAACTACTTAGGGAAATGTCTTAAAGAAGAAAGGCCAGCAAAGAAAGAGGTCCTGCAACAGAGGTCCATCCACCTCACTGCCTGTGGGAAGATGTATGACTGCCAAATTTAGAACAGCAGTCCTACTCTGTGGAGCCTGAGGCCTGTGCTACTCACCTGTGAGTCCTAGGAGCAGAAGCAGCACCAGGGATGGTAGGGGCAGATGGGGCTGAAAAGTAGTGATGGGTATTGTTGTGGACCTGGAGCCTACTCTATCTGTCCCATAGAGGCTGTAGATTCTTTGATCTGTGCAGAGAAACAACACTGTCTCCTGTGGTATAAAAGGAAATGATTATGATAGAGGAAAGGGCTGTGAGTTTATGAGTGTCTGCTTCTTGATTGTGAAGCAGGAATCAGATATAAGCTCAGAAGCAATGATATAAGAGTCACAAGGTGCTTACAGAGGGCAGGCTCCATTAGTGCCTAGGCTCTGGCCTCTGGGCTCTTCACTCCATGTCCAGGGTTCATGTGACCTGAAGACATATTCAGCTTTGTGTTATAGTCTAACATCTTGGCTCAGGTGAGCTGTGACCTGGAGTCAGGAGGAGGGCTTTCAGGCAAAGGGTTGGGACCCTGTTCTCCTTACTCCAGAGGTATCAGTGGTAAAAAGAGCCTGAGACCATGCTTGATGGGGGTACACTGGCTTTTGAGAGTCTTCTTGCAGGGGAAGTGTCTTTGGGTGAGCAAGGAATTAAACCTTGGGTAGAGAGAGTAGTTTCAGTTCTGCAGAAGAGAGAAGGCAGGGGATGTGATCCTTGGCACACTCATTGTTTGGGAGTGACACACCAAGGAACAGATAGGAGAAGAAAGAGGCCTTTACTGGCTCTCTAGGTCTGAGGTCAGCTCTGGAGATAGGGAGTAGAGGTGTTAGAAAATCACTCACACCAAGAATGGACTTCATTTCTGAACAGGAATAGTTGGCACAAAGACTGTATCTGGAGCCTCTCAACTGTAAGCACCTTACATCCATGGACCCAACACCAATACTGCTTTCTGTGAGCAGTTTCCCACTGCTTCAGTCCTCTGCCTCCTTCCTAAGTGGTTGGCCATAAGTTGAGGATGAGAATGGGCAGGACCAAAGGGGAAGGAGATTTGACTGCTCGGTAATGTGCACTGGTGTCTGCATGGCCGTGGGCATGTCATCCACATACTTGGTGTCCTACTTAGCATCTACAGAACATACTCCTCCATCCCTCTTCTTCTGGCCTGTCCATCTCAGTGTGTGACACTTCCATCTACCCAGTTAGTTAAGCTAGAAAATCTTGATGTCATTTTTTTCCACTAAGTTTATTGGTACATTTTAGGTATACAACACAGTTACATTCATCATTGGGAAATTGTACCTTTACATGACGTACCTTGGTTCTTATTTTTCCCTCTTTCCTCTGCCCTCCCTTCAGTCCCTCCACTGCTCCCTATTTACAAAGACTTTGTTTCCAGTTTTTCCTTTTCCAATATTTTTTCTTTCCCTTCTTTCCTTTCCCCTACTCCTCCAACTTCCCCTACCCCTTTAAACCTTTTCTTCCTATTTCACATTATCAATTATACATTTTAGTATATGTGCTGCTGAAGTGAGCACTATCAATTATACATTTTTATGCTTATTTACACTTTTAGTTTATCACACCAGAGAAACTATTTTGTATGTATACATATGTGTCCTATTTATTTCACTTAAGAGTATGGCCTCAATGTGCATCCATTTAGCTATAAATGTCTCTGGGTATCTTCCCAAAAGAATTAAAATAATCATACCATAGTGATATATGTACACCCATGTTTATAGTGGCACAATTTGTAATAGCTAAAGCTTGAAAACAGCCCAATTGCCCATCAACTGGAGACTGGATAAAGAAGATGTGATTTA